TCAGGCTAGCGAAACTGTTGTCGATTCACTTTGACTGTCATCTTCTTGGTGACAGATTGTGTACTTTACGGTGAAAACTTTACATTTTACAACGTATTGATTTTATAGAACGAAGGACGGTTTTGATTTATCATACTACATAGCGGACAAAATGTGAAACAAATACCATTTTTGTCCGCCTTGCCTGTCTTACATCCGTCAAGTAATTTACTCCTACAAAAATCCGTAAGTAAGACTTCTATGTATCATTGTCCAGGGACCTGGCACAGCATATTACAGGGAAATAAAGACCATCCATCGACTGACAACGGGTTGTGATCGAAGGTTACAAGCTAAAAAGAGAATTTGGTCAAAGTGCTCGTTTTTCTTCTTGATCTACAATATTTTAACCCATTCTTGGGGTAACCCATTTCCCCAATCACTTCACGCTAAAAGATAGGAGGATACCACAAGCTTTGAAAACTAGATTTTTGTAATTAGTATGCATCATGTCTGTGATCACTCCCAGAAACAGTGGCAACAAATTTTATGCATTCTTTTCAGGTAAAAATCCATGCAGTTCAAGTACTAATGGAGGTTGCAGTGATTTATGCTTGCTTAATAATCGCGGTAAATCATGTGCCTGCCCGACTGGCGTGAAGCTTTTACCTGACAACAAGACTTGTGAGCAAGGTAAGCGGCGGAAACTTTGAAAGCGGTTTCTTGGTTACATGCACCTCATCTGCGTTTATTTAAATTCGCATTCCAGCGCTTGATGTTTTTTCCTTCGGAGCACAACACGCATTATAGAATTTTAAGAAATCAAGTTAAGTATTTGAGACTTTTTTTATAGACTCACCATTTTTTGTGTTAGAACATCTCTTGTTTGAAGGCGATTCCGTCATGTTAGTTAAGTCTACAGCTTTTTACCAATCCAGCCCAAAATAGTTTTTGTGGCTAAGTAAACTACATAAATTTCGCTTCCACAGATTATTTCTATTCCCTTGCGAATTTTGGCAGCGCAGTGCTGCACTTCGGTTCAAACAGAAATTTAAAGAGGCACAAACGTTTCAGGGATGAATAAAACTAGAACGCATTATTATTGTCAAAGGGAGGGAAACAGTTTTATCTATGAAGGGGGGCTTCAAGAAGTACTCTGTAGCCTAGGACAAACGTCGAACTTTTCATGAGACGAACCAAAATCTCATTTGGGAATTATGCACTCTTAAAGTTTCTAGATGTAAATAAAATAAATGTGTTTGCCAGCCACCATGTTTGTTGCATAGTTACTGAGGCGTTCTTACCAAATTTAAAGTAATTTGGGGGAGAAGCATAATTTCTGCATTTTTTGCTAAAATGAGCATAATTTGCAGAAAATAGATTTAATTTTAGAAATATACGAACACTCCTAGTAGCATATTATGCTATTTTTGGCAGCACGATCTATCCAAGCCTAGCTATTGCTTCGGCGTACGTCGCAGGTTCCGTGCACGTTTTGATACGGGTTAAGGAAAAGGGAATTTGCGCCGCATATTCCTGGACACACCCGACCTCACTGATGTTGCCATGCCAGTTTCTGGTCTCTTACCATAATGGCCAAATTTCAGTTGTAATAGGTGAAAGGCACAACTTTCAGTACTTCGTTTAGATTCATTTTGTTACAGGTCCTGTACACTTCCTATTATTGGCACGTAAAGTGGATATACGACGTATTTCACTTGACACACCCGACTTCACTGATGTTGTTATGCCCGTTTCTGGTCTCCGCCATGCAATGGCGATTGATTTTGATCCTGTGGATAAATTTGTCTATTGGAGCGATGACGAAAAGCTTGAAATTAAAAGGTCCAAAATGGATGGAACAGGTAGGGCTACACGTTGCATTTTATAAGTTTTGCCACGGGCCTCGATTGAAATAATCAGGTTCATTTGGCGCTTACTGTTACAATTTGCATTCTGTCCTCTCCCTGAAAGTTTATTTAATTTTGGCTTCAACAGAATCTCCTACTAAGGGGCAGACAATTCCTGTTAGATGCATTGTACTAGGTCCCGTTTACATTAAGAAACGTTGTTCCAGCAGGTACAAGTAAGGGACACTCGCCTAACTGATCGAACAACTCTAGCTCTTCCTACGTTTTCCTCACAGAACTTGGCAAAACGTATACATGAATTTGTCACAAAGTGTCGGCTCGGCTAAAAGGGTGACGCCCCTAGCTGAGTCATCCTTTTGTGATGGTAGGGTCGCCCTCCTTTCCGTGCCAACGTTTCTCCATAAAAACACTCTTGTCTGACCGCGGCAGGATTAGCTCAGCCGGTAGAACACTTGTCTTGCAAAGCGGGAGACCGCGGGCTCGATTCTCTCTGGGCCGTACCAATACTCAGGGACTTAAACTAAATGGAAATTGATTGTACGGCCTTTGCCATGAAATGGCTACACCCTCGGGTGGCTCAGATGACCACGTAAAATGGCGGTCCCGTCTCCAGTAGGAGATGTACAAGCTAAATATATCGACACTCAAACAAAGTGCAGAGTGCGCCCAGCTTGGTCAACCATGTCAATCAATCAAAGCATACGCAAGCAATGCTTTTTGACAAGACGCAATCTCGTTTCCAGAGGTTGCAATACTTTTGGTCAGCACCAAGGATGCCCGTTCCGCTGGACAAGGGTAATGAAGGCTTTCGGGACCAGATTGTCCCAAGCGCCATTGGCTCTGGCAAAGGGTTCAACTCAAATGAACTGTCGCTAAAGTTAACTCGACTGGTAGGGTCACCCGTCTCGCTCGTACAACTTTACTCCATATAAACGGGCCTCAGCTAACCCTTGGCATGCAGCTGAAGCAGAGCCATTTCTAGCTTCATGAGTGGCACGCTTTTTGTGTTTGTTTGATTACCTTTGTTAGGTGTGCAAGTCATAATCAACGACGTTAGTCATCCTGATGGTATTGCAGTCGAGTGGCTGGCACGGAACTTGTACTGGACTGACACAGGCACAGATCGAATTGAAGTCAGCAGGTTGGATGGTTCGTTTAGAAAGATCGTCATCTCTGAAGACCTAGACGAGCCAAGAGCAATAACACTGCACCCTTCTCTCGGGTAAGCTGGTTATTATGAGTCTGCGGTCACAAGAGTTTTACTTATTAAACATTTCTGTGATAAATGATGACGTCTTAAGCACACCGAGTGAACATCGTTCAAAAACTCGTCGTTTTTCTCAATATCGCACTGGCGTTCCAACCGCTAATGAAACAGCATTGCATTTCAGTCATTGCGCTGCTAATAAGGGACATTTTTGACACTCCTATCAAGCAATTCGTAAGAGATCCCCAGGGTTTCAATATTCATTAGTCTACTACTCTAGTGACCTCGAATACAGGATTAGACACTGCTATGCTGATCAGATCCCTAAGATGCTATACGTACTGAAAAGAAATGCTTATTATGACGCTAACTGAGGAAACACACTCAGGAACACAGCAAAACAAGCTTGAGCTAAGCTTGGCTAAGTGTTCGTCACAAATAAATCGTGATCATTAAAAGACTACATGTATCTGAAAAGACTGATCACACAATTTCAAGGCACATATTAACGTTATTTTTCGACTGGCCAAAACCCCGCTTCTAACCTCTTTTCTCAGGTTTATACAGTGAAAACCTAAATTCTGTTTCTCTGGCAGGTACATGTTCTGGACTGACTGGGGAAAACATCCAAAGATTGAACGAGCAGAACTGGATGGTAGTCATCGTATTACTTTGGTGAAGACATCAGTGGTTTGGCCTAATGGCATTACCATTGATTTCCACGAACAAAAACTCTACTGGGTTGATGCCAAGTTGGACAAAATTGAAATCATGAACCTTGATGGAAGCAACCGTAGAGTAATTCTTGACTCTAAACTGCCACATGTGTTTGGATTTACTGTGTTAGGAGATCGTTTGTTTTGGACAGATTGGCAAAGACGTGCCATAGAGAGTGTCAACAAAAAGACTGGTAACAACAGAAACGTGATCCTTGACAGTGTACCTGATTTGATGGGATTGAAGGCTGTCAATCTTGATCTCCCTCTTGGTAAGGTTGTGTTTTTTGTGTGTTGATTTGATTTGTTTCTGACTGTTAAGCAACCAAATAACGATGGTAGCTACCAGCATCACAAATAAAAGGAATGTCGAAATTACACTAAAGATCGTTGCTTTACAAAAGATGCCAAGCAGGTTGTTTTTGTGAAGGGTTGGAGTCATTTCAAGAGGAATAGTTCACCCGGACGATCATACTTAGCTTATGACAGGTTATTTTTATTCGCAGAGTTCATTTGTAAATCGACTACCCTTTCGGACAGACCTCGTTTTGGCGTTTTAGCTAATAGGAGTAAATTTTCTTTTAATTGCTAAAAACGAAATTCCCAGCGACACAGTACTCTCCCATGACTTGTAGTCGACTTGTTTTTTTGCCAGTAAATCAGATAGCAGTTTCTCATTATGATATGATGAATATGTGAATTTCACATGTTGAAACCGCGGATTGAAGAAATTGAATGCAACTATATCACCTCAGTTAAAGACGCGGGTCTGCAGGGTCAGGGTACCGGCGAACCTGTGATGACCTTCGTTGCATTTAATTTCTCATTCATGTTCCCCTACATTTCTAGGTTCCAACCCATGTGAGCATAACAACGGAGGGTGCAGTCATTTGTGTCTATACACACCAACCGGAATCAGATGTGAATGTCCGACCGGGATGATACTTAAAGAAAGAAAAAAAGCTGGAAAAAGGCAAAAGAGGTGCACATGTATGTGTCGACATTTTTCTTTTTAATGAGATAAAGTATTTAATTCCCTTTTTGATACAGTTCTTGGGGAATCTCTGCCTCTTAATTCACATCCTTTGTCCAGTTATGAAGTTTGTACTAGGGGATGAATAAAATTTGTTGATGCTTTCTTGCAAGATATTGATCTTTTGCCTGCTTCTCTCTGACTTTGGTATCCCAGTGAGCAGTGGTTACGTTACGGAGAGAAACCACTGCGAGCGACTGTTTGCTTTTTTCATCGAGCCGCCGTCCAGCACCATGGATGGATAAATTAACTTTGAAGATGTAAATGGGCTCACGCGCATTTGCGCTGCAAAACAATAACTTCGTACGTACATCACGTGTTTTTGTTCATTTCTTTGCATTTGTTGCAAGACTACGACGTGAAACGTCCTAAGTTTACGTTATATAAGGGACGTTAACGGGAGAAAACGATTTATTTTTTTTCTTTTTTCTTACCTTAGATTCATCCCTTTAGAATTAAACTACAGAAAAGTTTGAAACATTTGACAAATTGAACAAGGTGAAGGAAGGCGAATTCACTTTCGGAGTGACGTTTTGGGTGCCTTTTTCCGGCCGAGCGCGGCACGCGCGTACACGTCATGATTGTTCCCAAGAAACAACAGGAAGTGGTGTCGTTTGGCGTTTTGACGTAGGCGCCACGTGGACGCGCATGCTCAATGGCAAAGCATATGGTCGCTCGCAGTGGTTTCTTTCTCTTCATAGCGCAGCGTCCGGCCTGGAGAAACCACTGCTCGCAGGGTATGTCTTTGGCCGCAATTTTTTTTATCATGGACTGAGTTATCTCAAGGATCCACAATTGTAATAATTTCCGGTAGTTTTCCCTGATCTGCTTTATTGAGGCTAAAGTGATGTTCTTTACAGATCCTTCCCGCCTCTTATTTTTTGCGAGAAAAAAAAGTCTGCGACGCATGTTCCTAGACACGCCTGATCCTGCTGATGTGGTTGTGCCAGTTCCTGGGATCCAGCATGCAGTTGCCATTGATTTTGATCCAGTGGATAAGTTTATTTATTGGAGTGACGTTGAGGCTTTTGAAATCAAAAGAGCGAAAACGGATGGGACAGGTATTTATTGGATGTGCATGCAAATTTTCACGCTTTTTCTTCATGAAACATGGTTGTTAGTTCAGTTTTCCATACTTTTTTCTACCAATGTTTCCCTATAAACCAGAGGTTTTTCACAAGTTTCATGTACTCCTGAATCAATTAGTGGGCATCCACGACTGCTGGAACACTATAAATTACAAAGATATGTTTTAGCCCTAAAAAAGGGGCTGTTTCGGTGAGTAAAATAATATACAGTCCTGTTTTTGAGTCTAATTTGGCTCCCTTGAATCAGGCCAATACAGTCCGATTACCTACTGCTGATTTGGACCTAAGATCTGAAATGGGTCCCATCTTGAGCTGGAATAGCCTTTTGACTGGGCTGTTTTGGCTTAAATGGTGCTCAAATGGCTCCAGGAGGGGCTGAATCAGACTTACCTGCAGGGTTGGGGCTGAAATAGATCAATGAACAATTTATCCAACCAGATGTAGTTGTTATTGTTCAACCTGCAATAAGCTACGCATTTTGCTTTTGCTGCCTTTGTTGTTTATGTTTCTCTAGTCACGTAAAAAGATTGTTAGGAAAATCCTTTCCGGACCAACATCGAACGTGCAGGGAGAATGAAACATGTAGTATTTAACTTAAAAGAAAGATCTGACTTCAAACCAGTATTCGAACCTATGTGCTCTTCGGAATGGGTCTAGCGCTCAGAAGAGCTACAGTAGCTAGAGCTCTTGCTAAGCTCGTATGAGGCAATCATCTTACATGTGATTGGTTGTCTTTTTTAGGTGTGCAGCTTATAGCAGGTATTAATGTCAGACATTGTCATGGTTTGGCTGTCGACGTGGTGGCACGGAACATATATTGGACAAACACAGACACTGATCGAATTGAAGTCAGCAGGCTGGATGGTTCCTCAAGGAAAGTTCTTATCAACGACCACCTTGACGAGCCCAGGGCAATAGCATTAGACTACACTCGCGGGTGAGCCATTTATTTTACTATTCTGTTTAACCAAAGCTTTCAGCAACGGAGGGACAGATGAAGTCAAGTTTAACGGTTTCTGCAGAACCCTTATGAAACGCAGATGTAAGGCTGTTTTTTGGCCTTGATGGCTTGAAAACTCACAAAAGAAAGAAAAAATGATGTTATGAAAGACAAGCAATTCGCGTCAAGGGAATTCCTCTTTTTCAGAGCTAGAAGGAAAAAATAGACATTAATGTGAAGAAAGTTACATTTTCAGTTAGTTTCAAATAGCCTCTTCGCATGCTGTGTAAAGTCTTTTTTTCCTTTCCAGTTATATGTTCTGGACTGATTGGGGAAAACACCCTAAAATTGAACGGGCAGGACTGGATGGTAGTCTTCGCGTCACCTTGGTGAACACATCGGTGGCATGGCCTAATGGCATAACAATTGATTTTCACGATAAGAAGGTCTACTGGGCTGATGCCAGGCTGGACAAAATTGAGGAGATGAATTTGGACGGACGTAATCGAAGAATAGTGCTGGATCAAAAACTGTCACATGTATTTGGATTAACTTTACTAAGTGACCGACTTTATTGGACAGACCGGGGTAGATTGGCCATAGAGAGTTGCAACAAACGAACGGGTAATGAAAGACAGACAATCATGGGCGGAGTACACGGTCTGTTGGGGATAAAAGCTGTCAATGTCAAGAGAGTACACGGTTAGACTAATCGACTTATTTGAGATGATTAGAATTGTGTGTGATTTTCCCTTCACTGTCTATGGTAAAAATGTTACGCGTTTAATAATCAGGGGCGTCAGTCCAGGAAGTATTGCTAAGGAGGGTCCAAATTGTGTACACTGTTGAAGCCAGTACCTTCCACCGCCCTTCATCCATCCACCCCCGTGGTTAAAAGGCAACATATAACGCGTGTCATTTTTATGCCTTTACATGGACGTTTTATGTGGCTATTAGGTGTTAACTATTGACGAAAGAAGTTGGTAAAAGGGGCCATGTAACGAAGATTTTGCTATTTTAGTCAATTCTATGGTGAAGTCATTACTTACGAAGAAAATATCTAACAAATGTCGTCGGGGAGCACAAACCAAAAAAAATGTGCGTCGCGTAGAATGCCCGGTCACATCCGAATGTTAAAGCCGCATTCGAGCCACGATTTGGTCTTCAAAATATGGCGGAATAATAAGACTGAAGCGACTTTGAGAGTTTTTTGTCTATGATTGTGAGTTGCTCGTAACCAATCCTCAATGGATACCACTGGAATATATGATTTTTAAAGCCGTGGCATTAAAACTTTCCGCCATTCAAGTTTCAGTCCAAGTTTATTCTTGCCATCTTTAGGAACAGACGACAGGAAATAGTTTCAGTACCTAAACAATCTGAAAGACAAATACTGGACCATTATTTTTAGAATTCAATTTTTTCGGACCGTTTTAGCTTTTGAAAAGATCGCAAATAGCGCGACGTAATCCCTTTGAGTTGAAAAAAAAAAACTTTCCATCTGCCTGATACATGAAGGGGAGAAAGGGGAGACTCGGACTCCTCTGGCTCTCTCGCCTGATCTGCTATTTTATGAGGGGAAGGAAAGACTCATTTACATTAAAAGGTTCTAGCAGATGGACTAGACAACAATGAAAGACATTGAAGATATATAGAATGAAATAACATAAAACGAGTTAGAAAGAATTAAATAATGTATGAAAAAGCTTTCTAAGACGGGGGACTTCTTCTTCTTACGGCAGGGATTTATTCGCCCCAACGAAAAAGGTCAACCATAGTGGCTTTTCAATTGCTTCTCTTATCGTTCTTTTAGGTTTCAATCCCTGTCGTCGAAATAACGGAGGGTGCAGTCATTTGTGTCTGTATACACCAACTGAAGTCAGATGTGAATGTCCGTCAGGAATGACACTGAAAAAAAGGAAGCAAACTGGGAGAAAGAATAAAAAATGCATTTATATGTAAGTGTAAACACTTCTAAACCTCTGGCAAAGGCGACCCACTTGCCCTTAACTCTTCAATGAGGCAAGTCTTTGTTCTAGTTGTATAAACAACCTTTTCATAAAAAAAATTGACGCTGATTATTAAGATCTAATAAATGTAACGAATTCGAAGAATAAATTAAAGGACAATAATAAACACGTTATCACGTGACCTTTCTCTTGTTAAAATCATGGAATACAACGATAAAAAAAAAAAACAGATGAAAAGAGCATTGAAAATGGTCGGTTTGCCAATTTTTTGCTTTTTAAACTCCCAACAATAAGATTTATGGCGGTTTAAAAAAGCCCTTGGACTGCGCGCACGCCGTACGCCTTTCAAGTCCATATAAATTTTCAGATATTCCCACTCCCAAAGGATCTTGGCCTTGTGTGTCAGTCATCTCAAAATTTGTTCTCTGGCTAATTGTTCTATTCTCTCTCCATCTATTCTATTGCTTAAAAACCTTTTCCGACTAACGACGCAAGTACAATGCGAGCATAAGTATAAGCTAGGATGACCATTATTGCGTTATTAATGATGGCCATGATATATTAGAGAGATTAAGATTCACGTTTACGGCAAGCCGCTAACGTCGGATTCAAGTTGAGAATTTCTCAAAATAGAAAATAAGAAAATAAAAACTGTCCAGAACAATTCTTATGGATAAAATTGGCGTTTTGAAATTTAAACCGCTTATTTTTGAATTTAAATATGAAAGAATAAACAGTTAACGACAAGTAAAAAAAACTTGGTCAAATGGCCTGTTTTCAAATTCAACGTATCGTTTCCCAAATTGGCGTAAACGTGAATCTTAATCTCTCTATTAAGCTTAACAACTTTAACGGCTTGCATCGCCAGGACCAGTCTTATCTAAGTTGTATTCCATATTTTCTTGTTTTGCATAAGAAAACACACGTTACCGGGAGTTGTAATGTGTCCTGGTACACTAAGCAAAGATAACGTTGACGGACGTCACTATAACAGCAATCTCAACATTGCTTTTGTTTTTGAAACCTTTGTACCTTTTAACATCTGTCTGGCCTTTGGAGATATCAGGTCATGCCAGAGCACTGAAAGAGAGCAAATTTATCTGAGTGGTTGTTACTTTTGACGTCTTGGACGTTGAAAAGACGTTATTCTGGTAGGTTGACTTATATCTGCAACACTAAACAATACTATCAATCAAAAGGTGACTAACGGTAGAGGTGTACCCTTGGGGCAGGCGCGCGTCGAAGTAGGTTATTGTGCGGCTTGATACACCGTGCGTTTTACACTAACCTTGAAGTGGTTCTCCCCTTCTAACGTGAGTTAAACTGTATTTTTTTCTTCTCTAGATCTTGATTGGCAGAGACTGGCGAGAAGGGATAGTAAGTGGGAAGACTTATTGTGAGAAAAAGATGACTAATCTCTTAAAATTAATACCTACTGAGAAGCAAGAACGATCACGAAAACGATTTAGAACAATATGTTCATGGGAACGAGCGGGGAAATATTAACACAAATTGTAGAAAACAAGGGCTGTTGTTAAGAAATTTGATTGACTGAAGAAAACAAACTCATTTTTTTTTATCTTGTTTGATTCAGTGTAATTTCATCGTTTTTGTAAACGTTCTTCAATAAAACAGCAATAAACTACCTCGTTACTATGGCTTATCTCCTTGCCTTCGTCTGTAGCGGGAGATAATATATATTCACTGAGTAAGAGGTTGTGTAAGGGATAGCAAAGAAAACATAAGACGTTTAGGTTTAATAACATTTATGAGCTACAGTTGTTTAGACAAGAAAACTAGTTTGCATCAAATTCAGTTGAACGTTTAACTCGACAAATTTTCGAGCAACCGGGGTAAGGCGTTCTTTGGAGGGACTGGGCACATGCTATAGTGTACGGCTTTGGGTACAAATTTAATCCTGTAGCCTACGAACACAGACGTATTTCCAGGGGCACCCAAGGGGAAATTTTGAGAAAAAGACCTAAAAACAACAACAAAGCATGAATAAGGCTTTCTGAAGCCATTTTAAGCATTTTGGGAGATTGCTGGGAAAAATTTATCTGTTCCTCATACTCCCGCAGCAAGACTGATGGAAGAGTTCCCAACCAGAATGTTGCACCTACAACCTGCAACCTGACTAACGTTAGGCGTGGTCGTAGGGCAAAATTAAGACCTTCAGTGGAAGGGGAGGGGAGGGGGGTAGAAAAATGGGTATGGCCTAAGGGCGAAATTCACCCCTTCAGTGGGGGGTGGGGGGAGGCAAGGGCGAAAAGGCGTTACTGACAAATAGCACATAGCAGCTATTCTAGACTTCAAATCCCCTCAAACACCACGAATTGTCTTTTTTCCAGCAGCACTGCTTCCAAGGGCATATTATTTCTTCTTCATCTCCCAGTCAGCAAAAACTTGCCTGAAGAACAGATATTTTAAACAGTTCCATTGAGTGCCCCTTATTTCCGGTCGTTGCTTCTCTCGCTCCACGCAAAAACTTACTTTTCGGGTGGAGAGAAGTGAATATACGTGTGCTGTCGCAGCTGGGTACGCAGACTACGATGGAGCACCATGGCCGGCCAAATTTGTGTACGGCAAAGGGGCAAAGGCGCGTGGTTGCATGAATATGTTGTAGCTTGGCAGGCATTTTTTACGGATCATAATACAGGTCACCTCGCTACAAATAAATAAACAAGAATAGAAGTGTCTCCAAGCCCTAATTCTTATCCAAAATGTTTTTTTTTTTTATTCAGGGGAATTGAAATTATTTGGTTTAACTTAACTATCAATAAAATAGTGACCTGTAATCGTGATCTGTGAAAAAAAACTTCTCCGTTGCGGTCGCTCAGCTGGAGGACGCCATTTTGGATGTGTTTCAGGCAGATGTTAAAACCACTGAGAAATTTAAAATCTAACCTGGTTAGGCAGTTCCGTGTAAACAGAACGCGCTGATAGAGTGAAAATGTTGAACAGTTCATTATGATCGAAGTGTCCGGTCAAACTTTTTATTTGCTCGAAAATTCGTCCAAAGAAGAGCTTTACAAGTGTATCACGCTTCTTAAACGTTTCCGTCGTTCACGACTATGACTTGTTACATCCTTATTTCACGTTTTATGGAGAACGTGAACACAATTTATTTGATTTAGGAACCCAAGCGGGCGCGTTTGATAATATAGAGAGGGCAAGGAGTTTAAAAGATATCTAGGGACACGCGGGAAGATACGAACGAAATTGTTGTTGAGCTCGGTCCCTGAGTTACTTAAAATAGCTAAAGTTACCCCTGTTTTTAAAAACGGCGCGTGCAAACAAGTTTAAATAATTATCGGACACTTTCTAAACTTCGTTATTATGCTGTGAATTCAGATATTCTGGTTAAACTATGCCTAATATATCTCTTCTTAACCTATGATTTAATTCCTTGGGGTAACACCTATTCTTCAACTACCCAACCTTTGTTCATTTTACAAAAGAGAGCGATGCGATTGATGACTTTCTCTAAATTTCGTGAGCATTCTGGTCCAATTTTCAAACAGGTTCTTGGCTTATATAAATGTTTGCTATTCATTTATAAATTTAACTATTTTAGACTTCCTTCATAGCGTAGAAATAGCGGTTTTCCTCGTCTCCTTTTTTTCTTTTTTCTTTTTATGTGTGCATTTTTGCTTTAGTCTTCTTGCTGACCTGTAATTTAATTGTATTTAATGCTGATGTCAACTGGCTGCCTGGCTCCGCTAGCCCCCATGGTACGTTATTTCAGGCAGCCAGTAAGTACTTTTAATAGTTTTCATTGTTGTAATTTATTTTTGAACATGATTGAGTACAAATAAAGATTGCTGTTGTAGATTGTTGTTATTTAAAAACGTCTAAGAAACCCGTTTATTAGAGAGAGGCCTCTAAAACAAACTTAAAGAGCGCTTTGGGAAGGGGGGTTGGTGGAAGTAAGTTGTTAGACATAAGGCGTTTATTTGAGAGAGGGCGTCTATTAATAGATCATTTATACGGGAAGTAACACTCAAGCGCTGCCCAATATACAAGTATGATTTTAAGACCACCAACTATTAACGGATTATTTTAAAATGTTATGTGAAGAAATGAGACTCTGTTTACTTTTTCTCTTTGCTAAGTAGAAGGACGGCACCCGAAAGTAGCCCTGCCCAGCCTTTTTTAAAATCAAAGACTGCCGACACTAAAGAACTGTATGATCTGTTTTCCGGATTATATGGTAATTCTGGGAATAATCGGAACGACGCTTACATGAGACTGCTGTGAATTGAACAAGAAAGTCTAAGCGTTTCATACGTAACCCAACCTAAAAATGTTATGACAAAAAAATGAATCTCTTCAAGGAAAGCTTTTGGAGCGACGAATTAATTTTCAGATGGAATATAAAAATAACCCCGGTTAAAACTTTTAATAAAACTGCGGAACTGAGCGCAGAAGGAATACAGTCAAGGCAAGATGAACGTGCGATGCGGTGAAAAGCTTATTAACTCATCGACTGCGTTTGGGTAAACTGTCAGCTGAACTGTTAAGAACCGGTCATTCTTTATGTTGTCTTATTTTGTATCAGAAAGTATGACGCGAACACAACGTTCCAATTTTTGGCGCGGTTCTTTGGAAACCGCAAACTCTTTCGGGAACTTTGATTGTGATAATATTTACAAAAATGAACAATAATAATAGCTAATAGTGAACTCGGATATGAACATTTAAAATCCTTTCAAAAGACAACCTGCAATTCTCTCGCCCTTTTCTAGTATGCGAGAAACGATTGTCTTTGGACATTGGCGTTTTCCAGAAAAAGGATGTTTCGATCTCTTGTACTAAAACAATTATTCACCTCAAGTGTCCGTGAATATGGAGGATTTCTAACCCCTCTTTTCGACCTTTTTGGTGAATAATTCTTACGATCTCCTTATTACATCTATTAGTGACCACGGAGAGTCCTCTACAATTGGAGCATTGGCCCTATCGCTTCCTTAACAATAAGGCTTCTCTCGCCAAGGCGCATGTGCATTCATCATCCAAGTCCGACCTTGACCGACGAAGGCCATGATCTACTTAGGCAAGTGCGTACATTTTAAAAACAAGGGCACAACACGAAAACAAGACTCTGTGGCTGCTCTAATATCAAGTACGTGTGAGTTTGCGACCACCTACTAGCTATCTGCGGAATGGTATGGCAAGAAACGCGATCTTTGTTTACACTTTGCCCGCTTTAAGCAAAACGACCGCTTCGGGATCCAGTTGGCTGAAAATCAAAGATGCCGACCGTAAACAAATGTGTAAGATCTTTAACCTTTAATGATAACTCTGGGCCCCTGATTCCGCATGACGCACACAAAAGACTGCGGTGAACAAGGAAGTTAAAAAGTTGTTATAGGATCCCATACCAAAAATATTTTCATAAAAATTAGACTTCTTCCTTCACATGTCCGCACCTTTATTTGACTGTAAATTAAAGATAACCCCATATAACTGATTGTAGAATAACAAGATAGATACAATAAAAAGATTAAAGTTATTGATATGATTCAATTCTGTTTGAATAAACTTAAAAAAAACCCTGATCAACTTTTTGGTTATTTTATTTTGTTTATGAAGCTTAACTATGAGGTACCGATATTAGTTACCCAGAAGTTGACAGTGGACTTTCTCTTTACTCATACAAGCCAGAAATCGTTATTAATTCACTGTTAATTGGCAGGTCCTTGATTAACTTGATTACCTACGTGAGTAGTCTTTTAAGAACAGTCAGAAATTTTGCTGTAACAATTTAAGTTACGTTATTTAAAAGGGTTGCAGAATTTTGCCAAGATAACTGAAATTCCATTACCAGGATCTGCAAAGCTCTGTAATATTGACAGCGATGGCTGCTATTCGATTATCACAGACTCAGTATTTTGGTAGTAGTCCCTCGTGATTGTCGCCCTGGGGAACACGTTATGGAAAGACGCGCTCTAGTATTCTCCTCGCGCGTTTGACTCGCCTGCCTTACGCAACATGCTCGCCCATGCACCCTGAAAAACTTTAAACCTCAAGCAGTTTAGCATTACGGACAGGCGGCTAAGTCAAGAATGTGTCAAGTTTACTAAGCACCGAGGATAATCCAAAGTGCTACCCGGGCTATCTTGCCTAAGCACTACTGAATCAGGTAAACGATCGCGCAAGGCTGAGAGTCTAAAAAGGGCACTCTCATGAGAATTCCTGTCCTGAGGTTTTGAAATCCTGAGTGAATTTTTTTGTCTGGTACATAAAGGCCTCCAGACTTCGCAACCAATTGGCAAATTTCAAGCAAACTGTTCGATGGAAATCAAACTGCAAGTGGTGTGTATTATGGACGTATTTCCGTTAAAGCAGGCGTAGGAATGGGAAAAGCTAGTCAAACTATTAAAGTTGTAAGGCGCTACGTCCTTTCAGATCTAGAGTTGTCTTCAGACCTGGCTATAAAAGAGACGACCCGAAATAAAAAATACTGATTTTGTTTATGTTTTGAAACTGTCTTATGGTTTTTGGCTAATTTACGCGACAGTATTGCGAGTGCGTCATGGGTTTCTGTTGTGTCCATTGTGTGCCATTCAGCCGGCCTAGCTACTAAAGACGCGAAACGATGATTACAACTTTTTATTCCAAACAACACCACTTCAGTTTTTATTCAATCCAGTTCCGTTTCTCAGTTGTGCCTGGAAGCAAGAGAATCCAAGGCTTAGTGTTGTTCGTTTTCCTTAGCAAGAGCCTTTACTTTATCTGGGGCTCCTCCCTTGATTTTTCGTATATTTTTAATCTATTGACACGGGAAAATGCGTAGTTGGCGCGTATGTATAATGAACACTTGAAACGATCAAGATAACGCCCAGAAAGAGAGGCGCCGTCAAAGCTTTTAGCGGGTGTAGGTCCTCAATTCTCAATATTGCTGTAACAAATTGTGGAGTGAGAATGTACCAAGGTCAAAATAACTATAAGCTATGGGACATTCACACGAAACTATTCAGCCAAAAAAGTTTCTTCTTTAGAAAACATGAAAAAATCAGTAATACTTCTACTCGGCACATCATAATACAACTATTCGTTAAGGGCCTGCCTTCGCGCCCCAGCAGGGTCAAGAAAGTTGAATTACTCGATACACCTGCAAGTACATACACGTGAATCCGCGATTGCCTCATGAGGTATAGAATTTCGTTCAGCGCCTCGTAGAGACTAAACTGTATCGATTGGCATTTCGGATTCTAAACCTTGAACGTTCAATTTTGAGCAATTTTTAATATGGTACTCTTGCTTCTCTGGTGATCGTATCAAAACCGCCATCAATGATATAGCTTGCTAATAGATTCAGGACGCAGCCTAAAAAAAACCTCTTAGCGTTAAACACTCAGAGCACCCTGAAGGTCAAAGCTTTCTTTTGAAATATTGATAACATACAGAACGTTAAGAGTTAAATGAAGGCTCATATTGAACGAACTTTTCCATAGCAACGCTAGTTTTTCTGGAGTTATCTCAAGTTGTCCTTAAAACCTCTTAGGAACTCGCAGATAATCTAACTATTTTTAGCCATTAAATTGATACTTATCATAATATGTGCAAAGTATACATTCATCAGAACAATTCAGTTATATCATGTCTCAGTGTGTTTTAGTTAGAAGGTGTTTAATTTGTGTGTGCTTTTTTCATGATATATGTCTGCTCAAAAGGACTTTCCTGGGTAAAATGTTGGCGCTCTCAACTTTTATTTTTTTAACGAAGCTGATTTGTGTGAGAAGAATTAAAGAATGATATCTCAATGCCAAACTAAATATTATTGCACGCTCTCCTGACGAAAAAAAAAGATCACGTTTGGTGATTTTTGGACTAACTTGAGCCAGTCCTAGCTGCCAAGTCCACTGCTATCAGATATTTTCTTGCATTTTAAACAAATGATTAAAATTTTTTCAGTGGGTTTTCTCCTCCCCCACGGAAATACCATTATACTATAACACTGAATTAAATTTTCATTTCATTCATAGTCAGTTTGATGTCATCAATAGTCATACGTGTGCAATAGTCACACGTAACGGATCGCCAGAACACCGTTAACCGTGATCGTTTAGTCTTTTGATGATAATCGCTGTTTCTTTTCAAATTGCCAAGCATATTAAATTAGAATCGTAGGCCGGGTAAAAAAGCTCTTGTGTAAACAGTTCGCTCCGCCCCCCCAAGCCCTCAAGCCAACTTGCAAAGTAAAATCCAAGGACGGTATCTTACCGAAAGTGCGATAAGCTCTCTCGGAAGAACATTAATAGTAGCATATCTGATGGAAGCCATGAATGAATTCTCGCTCAGTATCAAAATACACTTTATTCAGTGTCATTACACATTTTAATATTGTTTTCAGTGCATTACATAGCTTTTTTATGGTTATGATGGCTCATTCGACATTCCACAGTGAGCGCCAATCGTCGCGAGTTTTTTTGGCGTGTATTTCGAGTTTTTCCTTTACTTAAAAGAATGCAGCTTATGTTTAAGCAGCTCAGTAAGTAAGTCGGGTCCAGGTTGGCGACTTTGACACTCTTGATATGCCAGAGTTGAAAAGCCGTTGAATAAAAACAAGCCATCTTTTTGTTTGAATAGAAGGTAATTTTTCAGTTTCTTATGACACCTTTTTTGTTCTGGTTATCCCTGGAGAACACAAGTCTATTGCCGGCAGAGTGGGAGCCCACTATTGGACGAAAACTTTAGGGACAAAACTCAATTAGCATATTTGAAGAAAGTGTTGTTTATACGAAACTAAGATATAGTGGTTCAGGCGACCTTAAACTCCTTAAAGAAAAGCCTCTTTTGTTAAAAAATGCTGTTGCACTATTTTCCCTACTGCCGCGCTGCTATTTTGACTGGCATCCTGCCCAGTCGGTTGGATACACCCCCCGTTTCGACCCGATGTCGAATCGGACCAATGAACGCGTAGTCGGCTCACGTGGTCCCATCCGAAACGAGCGTCGTTATTGGTCGGAAGTGTTCGTAATATCCTTCAATGGTTTTGAGTAATATGGAAAATGGTGTACGCTAGTTTGGCTTGTTTTATCTTGTACGTGGTTTCATTTTCCCTCTTGGATCCTTCAATCGCTGTTTCTAATGGTGAAACTACCGAATCGATAGCGTAGGATGAAATTCAAAGCATTAATTTGCTTGATGTGCCTATACTATAGGATATCATTAGGTAAGTCCCTTCGAAAGCGTATCTATGCGAAGTTGTTCTTTGCCGTGCAACTTTGATATTGATGTGCTTTGAGGTCGACATTTCTTTTGTGGTAATGAGTACTTGCGTTTTATGTATTAGCGGAGATTGCTTTGAAGAAGAAAAGACGCTTTTCTCGGCGACTGTGGGCATTTAGCTATTTCCGAACGATCTTTAGCGCTCGAAATCTTGTAATTTACACCGCAGTTGTCGTCCATTTTGTCCATTATTTGATCCGACATTCATCTCTGTGCTGCGATCGTAGATGGCGCGCTTTTGGCCGTTATAATTACGCGACCTGTTAGCGTATGTCTGGGCAAAATACAGAGTGGGTGTCTTTAAACCAATCTTTCTTTATCTTAAATGCTTAGAGCAGTGAAATGATCGGGAACACTCCGAAATAATAATAACAACAACATCGAATCATGAATTCATTTGCACGTGGTATCTTAATGCATTTTCGCTTGTTGTACGTTTGAGATAGTTGTTTAGGAATGCAGATTACTGTTAAACGAAAGTGCAAGTGTTCTTTAAAATATATTTGGGTGTATTTTGCGTTGCGTGATGGAATCGTAGATTTATGTTACAAGAGTGCGCAGAATACCCGTAATGGCCACGCGAAGTTTCGATGAATATGCTCTGAATGTTGAGTTCACTATTTTACCCTTCAAATTCACCTTTTGGATTGATCCCATTTGCAAGATGATTTAAATCTGAACAAAACTTAATTCTAGGCTTTCTACATAAACATACTAGAGCGATGGGTTTACCTTGTGTCAGACTACGTGATTTTCGAATAATCATTTTTTCCATACGTGCATCGCTTAGGAAAAGATGTAGGCTTATGTTATCTGTTTATTTACAGAACATTTAGCAAATCCTCGGAGAACATTGGCGATGAATTAGGAGAGGGTAATGATGCCCGTTTATAGAAACTTTGCTGATGTATTCTTCTTTTCAGTTTTGGGTCTGGAATATGCGAAATTTAGGAGATAACTTTATTAGACGTGCGTTCATAAAAGCAAAATCAAAATTGATTGCCTCTGCTTTCGATTCGATTAACAATGCAGAACTTGGTATCTTCAGTTATTTCATACTTCTTTTGAGCTAACAGTTTTCTTTCTTTTCTGACTCACAGCTTATTCACCAAGGCTTTTATTTGTAAATCGAAAGGATATTAGAAAAGTTTGGACGAGTAGCAAGAACCAAAATGAAACTATCATTGTTGACGGTTTGGACGATGCCATTGCAGTGGACTTTCATTATACAAAGGGATTTATATTTTGGACCGACGTTACCTTGGAAAAAATCAAGCGAATTCGCATCTCTACAGGAGAAATCGAGGATGTTGTTTCGGTGGGTTTGGAAAAACCCGAAGGACTCGCTGTAGATTGGATTGCAGGAAAACTGTATTGGACCGATTGTAGAGATGCTGAATGGGAAACAAATAGAATAGAGGTCGCAAATTTAGATGGATCTAATCGCAAAGTTCTCTTTTGGAAAGACTTGGGTCTTCCAAGGGCAATTGCTGTCGATCCGTTATTGGGGTAAGTGTGACTAATTTTTCTATTGCTAACTTAAATACATCGAGTTTGGTTGATTGACTACTTCATGCTGAAATATTCTGCGATTTCCGGAATAGGAATGTCCTTACAAATTGATAATGACTGTGTTACGCGTTCATAAAATGCTGTTTATAGTTTCGAGAAAGGTTTTCCAAATGGCTTTCACTTAAAGAGATAAATTCAGGTCGTAAGGATTCAAGAGGTAAGTTAATGAACTATGCACAATTAAAAATACATTAGGCTCTGAGCTTTAGTGAACAAACAGTAATCTATCACCATTTTGCTCACCCCATCACTACATTTTTGTGTAGCTTTTTGTGATATTCAGGTTGGTTGTTATGTATTGAAAAGTCTGCTTATTCATAAACATGTAGCTGGAACATATTCCAAGATTCCAGCTTAAGGTAAATTTCTGAGCCCTTGAGACCGTCTCATCATTCACCCTGGAACTTGATCATACTTTAGTGCTGTTTTTTTTTCTAACCACCGTGTCATTTTATGGCCTGGAACCATCTTACATTGCTCTAAAAAATGGAAGAGAAAATGCTATATCATAATTCTGCATAGACCGTTTGGTTTTAATCATGTGCTTTGGAAAAAATGTTAGTGTGCAATTTTCAGAGGAACAATTAGAACCCTTGGAAGTTAATTGTGTTTCAAAGAGATTTTTTCATTCTGTGGCGCTAATGAGTGACTGCGGACCTGTGAAAATTCTTAACGCAAGTAATGGCTTTCCTTTCTGTAGAAAATCTTTTAAAGTGCAATATCCATTCACAAGTGTTACCAGGTCCCATATAGAGAAGACTTTGTTAATGGTCTTGAACAATGGAAAAGCCTTACATTTCATTTGACCTTTTCTTAAATCAGAACCCAATGAATGTTTTGTTAATTATCCATTGTTACTGAAGATTTATTTACACTGTCTAATAACAGAGTGCAAATTTGATTCCCTAAATTACTACCTAGGAAAGAAAAATGTTTGATCTGATATGAATTCAGACTCTTGAATACATGTAGTTTGTTTGTGTTTAAAGTTTCAGAGCTGGTAGTTTATGTCTTTTTTTTAAATTTAAATGCAAGCTCATGAAGACAGTTTGTCATAATTTTTAAAACTGCCTAGAGGTGACAGGGTGTTTTTTACAATATGTACAATGTATACCTCATTTTAGTGTTATACGTGTGTGCCAACAAGATCTGTTCTTTGAGTCCCAGACTACAAAATACATAGTTTAATACTCATCATCAATTTTCCCATCACTCAGTATTTTGGTGTTTATTTGCTTTTTTTCCTTCAAAACATTTGTAGTTCCTAATTATGATTTTTAACTTTGTATTGGCTGACGTGCACAGGATGTCTCAGATGCCAGTGTTTAAGTAAATTTTAAATGCTTTATCTTTGATTTTTTTTCTTTCAAAAGTAAAGCACCTAAATACCTGAATTTTGGTAAACCAAGAAGTGGAAAAACCTAACACCTGTAAACTGATACAAGCAGGTTGTGTGAAAACTCTGAGATTATAAAAAAGTGAAAGGGCTTAGCTATGCTGTTATCCTCTTATAAGATTGAACCTACCAGGCATAAGGAGGATGTTGTTTATTTAGGAGCTGCCACAAGATTTGTTGCATAATCTGTTAAAGGGGAATTCGCTAGTTAGGTGGATTTTCCCAACTGGAGGAAGGAAATAGGAAATATTAGATCATGACATGTTTTTCTTTGTCGGCTAGTTGGATTACAGACGGATTAATGATTCCTTTTAGGGCAGGGGTTCTCATAAATATAAAACAAAATGAAACAACTTGTCTATACTAAATTATTATATTATGGGATGATGTGAATATTTTTGCACTTGTTGGAATTTTAACTTAGTCTCTTACACTCCAAATTGCTCACTGATTCCTAATAAAAGTTTATGTTTTATTTTTGAACTTTACCAGCTAGGAATCCAAGGTTGTGCCTGCTGGGTCTAGAACAAATGTTAAATAATCCTGTTAGAATTTTCCATGATATTTTTTAAAGGGTGCAGCGTAATATACAGTATTACATCTGGTGCATAAAAAAGAAAAAAACTAAAAGGTAACAGGATTAGAGGTAGAACTGTTTTGGTAGTTTGAGATAGCAACATCAGTTCATGATGGGCAACTATACATCCAGGAAGTTATTCCCACATGTAGCAATAAATAAATTGACACTGATATGCTCCAAGAACTATAAATACTTTCAATTGCTTTTTAATTGGTTTGAAATTTATTGACTGCAGTACGGTAATGTGGTGAATTACTTTATGAAACTAAGGGTGGATTCATTTACAAGATATGTATATAGTTGTCGCATTTGCCTGGTACTGGATCTTCATTGTGTGTAAGTTTGAAAACAATTATCAAAAAAGGCAAATATGATCTCAACATGTGGTAGTATTCTTTAAATGAATCAACCCTAATCGATTTTGATGTACATAAAAAACTGATGAGAAGGGGCACATGTGTACTTGCATTAAAATAGTGGTCCACCATATCATTGTGCTAGTGTTTCAGAGAAAACAGCCATTATTCTCTTGGCAGTACTTAGCCTCGTAGCAGTAGTTTCCTTAACAAAGTGTTTTTTCCTTTAATTGTTGCCTCACAATATGTTTTTTAATACTTTCAAGTTAAACCAACATTAATAAATATAATAAGAGTTTTAAAATATACTTGGTTACATTTAAAATCAGGTAGAAGAATCAGTGTTTTTGGTATTGTTTGTGCCTATTGCTAATTCCAGCCAGCCAGGATTATCGTTAAAACAATCTTTATGAAGGGTAGTGTCATAGTCTGACCTCTCATTTCTTTTGATTGTATTTTTTGTAGGTACATGTTTTGGACAGACTGGGGTGAAGAACCCAAAATAGAGCGAGCTGAAATGGACAGCTCAAATCGCCGGGTTATTATCCGAAAAAATATTCACTGGCCCAATGGGCTAACAATAGACTACAGTGCACGCAAGATATACTGGACAGATGCAAATTTATATTATATAGACAAGGCCAATTATGATGGCACAAATCGCGAGAGCATATTCAGGTCTTCTAGACAATGTTTATTGGGACATCCTTTTGCTCTTACATTGTACGAAAATAAAATATATTGGACAGACTGGAAAACAAGAGGAATTCACTCGACAAATAAGAACAATGGACTGCGGTGTCCAATTATTGTACCAAATACTGTTTCTCCAATGGACATTCGTGCCTATGAACCCAAGAGGCAGATGCCGAGACCTCGACCTGGTGAGTTTAATTTCAACTCTTGTTACTTGTTACTTGTCGATCATTATGCTGAGAGCTGTGTACCAATGACCAGTTTATTCCCTTTATTTCTTTAATGTGCCTTGTGACACATACAAATGTAAGGTCTTAATGACCGGTTTATGCTAGTACATAATGTACTGTATGGGTGCCAAAATGGTTCAAATAAGCCCTTTCCTAACCTTTCACATTATTTGCTATCTTTGAGCAAGGTAAACTTGAATTCCAAAAATAATGGTCCAATTTTGTTATTTAAGACCATGCAACAGTTAGCTAAGGGTGACATTAGTCATGTTATCGTTGATAAGCAGGGTGCAAAGAAAATCATTTTTACAGCTTGCCATTCAGGCAAGCTGAACCTAACATTTACTAGCCCAGACGTCATTTCAACTAGCCCCAAAAGCTTTTTGAGGAGTAGATTCTTCTGTTATTCGAATTCCTCGAAAAAGATCACTTGCCTGTCGGGCAAGTTAAAAACAGAATTCACTAGGCCGATAGCAAAATCCACTATCCTGGGCTATCGGACACTGCTTTCTTTGCACGCTGGGCAAGTCTGTTGTGAACACGAAGCCGGTTGTGAGAAATCTGGTGTCCTGGTTTGATTCTCAGCTTGGTATACAGTCTACTCATATTAGCAAGCTCTATAGCTCAGCCTTCTGTCATCTGCACAACGAGTCATCAGTCATATTCGCAACTTCTTAAGCCACCAGGAAACTAAGACCTTGGTGCATGCATTTGTCACTTCTCATGTTGACTACTGTAATAGCCTTTTGTATGGTCTATATGTACCTGCCTCACAGCTTATCAAGGTTTAGCCTGTTTTAAACACTGCAGTGAGGCTTGTTTGGTGTGCTTCTGCCATATTACACCATTGATGTATGAGCTACCTTGGCTTCCGTTATAGCAGTGCATTCATTGTAAGACTTTGTTATTTGCATTCAAGGCTATCCATGGCATGTAGCCCCTACAAGCATTTACAACTTAGTTTCTCTGAAATCACAAGGCACATACATGTATTGCCTCAGATTGTCTGGTGGGATTTTGCTACCATCGCCAACATTTAGAACTAAGGTCACACTAGGCGATAGGTCCTTCCAGGTGACGGCGCCCAAGTTATGGAATGCACTACCACGCGAGCTTTGCGACATTCCGTACTTACATACTTTTAAACACCATCTCAAGATGTACCTTTTTAAGTTCGTTTATAGTGAAATGAATTTTAATTAGTAATGTAATGATATTTTAGATTTTTTGTAGCATTGTATCTATATTTTTCGTTTTTTTTTTCATACTGTAAATAGGTTTTTTTCCGCATTTGATCATTTTTATGAATACTTGTACAATATATGTGATTAAATTATTATTATTATTATTAAATTATTATTATCATTATTATTACTATTTAGGCATATGTTTCCGGTTGTCTGTGACAATGAATGGCAATTAGAGTGGACTTGGATTGAACTTGAAAAAGCTGGGCCAGTGTTTTCGCATTTTAATTCTTTGCCTTCAAAAATAAAAAAAATAATGATTGAAGCACAGAATTGACTTAAAACAGTCATACTCGCGTGACATACATGTAGCCTAATTTCACGTTGTTTGGCAGATGAGACTAGTAAGATGTCCGAAAATCTGCAAACATATATTGGGCCTGGCGCACGCTACTGGTGTACACGGCTAAGAATCTCACATCGTTTGGCTTTTATGAACTTATTAAAACTCAGATCGCATCGATATTTGGCAAGAAGTTAAAGTTTATAAACAGCTTTTCATTGAATATTTTTTTTCTGGCTGTAAGACCAAAATAAAATTGAAATATGAAAAATATGGCTCAAAATGGGACCATTTTTTAACAGCTCGCGTAACATTTACAGTCTAACCACGCATATTGTGGGATTTCTCTGTTTCTGTTAATGGTACTTTGGAAAAATTTCTCCGAAGAGGTCAGTGCCTTATGAGTACTAACTGTATTAAAAATTACTGAACATAATGGTAAAACAACAAAGTTTAGGGGGTTTTCAGAAAGATGTTCTGTCTACATACGATCTCTGTGCAGGGCGAACGTCAATTTAATAGATTGCTTTCATTGACTTTCTGTTGTTGTTAAGAGAAGAAATAATAATTTTTGGAATGCTCATAAGTTAAACCTTTCTTATAGACTAACTGTTAAGACTTTGGGAAACCCATTTTTACGCTAAGATCAAATATGTAAGGTTAGACAGCATTTTTTAACGTGAAAAATTCTTAAACCGTGTGTTGGACCGAAAATCGGATTCTAGAGTGTGCTTTGGCATAAAGATTTTGTGCCTAAAATGTGCCTAAGATGTGCATAAAGTGTGCATTTTAGTTTTGAAAAACATGCCTAAGCCGTGCCTAAGTTGTGCCCAAACCGTGCTAATCTGTGCACAAGTTGTGCCAAAATATTGAGTCACTTGGAAAATCGTGTCCAGCCTATCGAGCTCCACAGCGAACGTAAAGGGCGCACGGCAATTATGTCAGTTTTGAGGTTTACAAAGTCTAGAAACACGGTCTGACGACCTTTTTATCCCCTAATAAGAAATAACATGACTCAGAATACGGTTAGAGACAACAGGGAAAGCCCTGACAAACAGGAAAATGGAATCTTAAACAGGTTAGCGTATTTAAAGTAAGTGCTCAGCTCAATTACATTGTTGATATGCTAATTTCATCCATGTTAAAAAATTTCCAAGCAGGTTTCTTCTCCCCTTCTTAACGGAGCGTTTAGTTGGAACGAAATATTTGTTTTTTTCAGGAGGGCAGATTTGCATTCAAAAAAAGAATTTACTTGTGATATGACTTATAAAATGAAAACGAAAAAATTGATTGCAGGTCGATGAGTTTTGAGATGTATGGCACTTCTCATCGATTATTATATGATCAAAGCTTAATTTGCTAACAGAGCCAGAAAACAAAAACAAACAAGCAGCTTGAATTATTTTACTACTAAGTGTAAGTCCTACTTTTTTAGTTAGAGAAATATTTTTAAAAAGCAGCCGCATTTTGTATTTAAAAAACAACACGCGTTTGCATGAAGGTTTCAAATTACCACTTTGTACTTTTCATGTTGTTATGCAAATTCAGGCCAATTTTACCGCGATTGCGAAAAGTATTTTCTACAACTTTTATTGGCTATTTTTGTGCCTCACTTCTTTAGCTTTGTTTTTGTTATTATGGCTTCGACTTTCTTTCACGATTTCTTTTAGAAACGAAAGAAAGTGAGTCTATAAAATTGCATAGCAATCGAAAAGGTTCAGACCAGCATATATCGCGTGTGAATTTCCACTTTATCCTCAGAGTAAACATGGACTGTTGAAGAATACGTTAATTTTCCAGACTTTCGGCGCGGCTCAAAACTTACACTTCCTATACTTCTAACTGTATCGTGTTTGATCTGAATTATTTTGTAATTCGTACCAAGTTTGTTCTTTTTTGCAAGTCGGGTTACAAAGATTTTCAAAAAAGTGCCTTGCATGAATATTTGTGCCTAAACAGTGCCCAAACTGTGCCTAAAATGTGCCTTAGCAATATTTAAAACGTGCCTTAACTGTGCCTAAAGTGTGCCTAATCTGTGCCTTGGCATGTTTTTTTCCCGTGCTTTGGCACAAAAACCGTGCCTTTTCTTGAGCGCGAATCGTGCATAAGGCACGGTGTTACGCTCGTGTACACCAGTAGCGTGCGCCAAGCCCTTGACGATGGTAATTTTATGAAAAAAATTGTTGGACTGCAAGGGTTGTGGTCCAGGTACATTTTGCATTGATACATAGATTTTATTTTGTTATTCAAACCACCATAAAGTCGCACTGTTAGGAGAGGAAATCCTCCCCCTACCCTCATCTCTGAGGATGACTGTGAAAAGCAATGGTGATGATGATGATGAATCGTGATGATGCTCATCATAATTTGGCCTCTACAGTGTATGGCAGAGATGTAAGGGAATGTGGGTAGTAGTAATAATAATAGTACTTTAATCATCCTTTCCCTTTAGGGTGTTTTTAGGGATAATGAAACAAATAATTTAAATAAAACATAAAATGGTTAAAAATCCCAATTCAATAGAGGCAAACCAGTTGGCTGTTTTACAAGCGTGGCCAAGAATTTGAACTTTGGACTAGACCAAGAACAAATCCAGCTAGGGGTCAGAGCAGGACTTGAGCTCGTGACCTCCGAATTACAAGTCCACAGCTCTAACCACTCATCCACGGATTCATAAAGGCTTGGAATTTTACCATTTTGAGATAACTACTCTGCCTACTTATTACAGGTGATAACCCATGCAATTCAAGCACCAATGGAGGATGCAGCCATTTATGTTTATTGAACAGGCATGGTCATTCATGTGCCTGCCCAACTGGGGTAAAGCTTCTTCAAGATGCCAGAACATGTGAGCAAGGTAAGAATCGTTTCAAGCTAGCCAGTCATTTGGATATTGCAGCTTGTTTGGGTATCATTTTACTACTACAGCTTGAAATGCAGGTACATTTTTCAGGTGAGGAAGCACTTACTGGTAGTATCCTACAGGTAATCACCATCTTTGATTTTCAAAGAAATGGAAGAAGAAAAATCTAGCTGTTCTATTCCCTGCCTACTAATTACATATACCCTGCAACCTATAATCTTAGTGATAACCCTGATTTGCTCTAAGAGCACAACTTTGCAGTTAGTTTGTTTTCTTTTGTTACAATATAAAGTGCTCCAGCTTTTTGTTTGCTGCTACTGTCAACTAAAACCACACCTCTGAAGATGAAGGAAAAACTCACAAATTTCGGTTTTAATAGGTGAAAGGCTTCCTACATGAACTTCCAGTACTTCATTTAGATTCATTTTGTTACAGGTCCTGTACACTTCTTATTATTGGCACGTAAAGTGGATATACGGCGTATTTCACTTGACACACCTGACCTCACAGATGTTGTTGTGCCAGTTTCTGGTCTGCGACATGCAGTTGCGATTGATTTTGATCCAGTGGATAAATTTGTGTATTGGAGCGATGATGAAAAGCTTGAAATTAAGAAATCCAAAATGAATGGAACAGGTATTCTGCACATTACTTTGTCATTGTGTGGTTTTTTATATATAATATGTATTTTGTCACAGATCAAACTCAATGAAAAGATTCCAGTATAACATGATTTTGCAGTAGTATACAATGTGAGTGGTTCAGTGCTCCAAAGTGTCACCTTTTTGGTTGCCATGACAAGTTGAAAAAGTTTGAGTGACTAAAACTGCAACGAAGGTAGCCAACTTGGCAACTGGGGTTTGCAGTCATGAGCGATTGCCTTTTAATAAATAATTATAATAAATACGAAACTTATTTTGTGCATGTACAGTAAAAATATTTTCATATGTGCATTACAAATAATAAGATAAGAGTAAGTCAATTAAAAGCTATCTTAAAAAAGTAAGTCAATAATATATTCAAAGCAGTCTTAAAAAATAAATATATAAATAAGTCAATTAACTGCTATCTTTGAATGTTTCTGTTCTCCGCTCCCAAACTGTTCCACAGTTTAGGAACTGCCAAATGAAAGGCTCAGTCACCAAGTGTAGGTAGGCACGGTGCATTTAGCTGGTACCAACAAAGTCGCATTCCTACATGTAGTTAGTTCCTACATGTATAATCTTTTTTATAGGTAGGGTAGTCAAATCATATGGGATTTTGCTCTCAAAAGGTTAAATCATGGTAAAAAAATGAAAATAAAAATAATGATAATAATAATGAAAGAAAAATTAAAAAACAATATGAAAGCAATACAATCATTTCAATTGTAAGTGTTATAATGTACTCAGAGATTAGTCAGGGGAAGACTGTGAGCCACTGATAAATCATACTCCTTTGTTTACCTCTTCCTAGATGTTCAGGTAATAGTGAACGCTGATGTCAGACATCCTGATGGTCTTGCCATTGACTGGGTGGCACGAAACTTATACTGGACTGACACAGGCACAGATCGAATTGAAGTCAGCAGGCTTAATGGATCATCAAGAAAAGCCCTTATCTCTAAAGACCTAGATGAACCAAGGGCAATAACACTGTACCCTTCTCATGGGTGAGTTTTGTCAGTCTTACCGTAACTAGGATGATGGTACTGTAGAGGTACATACAATTCAGAATTTTGAGGGGAGTGCTTCTCAAATTTGGGTGCCCAATTCTTTACCAAGGGAGTCAAAATGTGATGTGTGGTCTGAATAATTATCTGTAATTATTATATACTACTTATTAATGACCGAACAGACAGGGTGGATAAGTTATTTACTATATGGCCTGTTTAGCGCTATTTTTTGAAATGAATACAATAAAGAACACCGCAAGTAATTTTCAACATCCATGCACAAGGATGCAAATAACAGTCGGTCATCGGACAATTGTCCGGTAAATTTGACATTTTGACTGGCGAAATATTAGTCTGGTCTGTCACTCTGACCGGGCACTTTTGATCCAAATTAAACTTTTAATTATCATACTTTAAAGACACTTGTGGCAAAACATTGTTCCATTATTTAGCTAACACACACATTGACAATCAAAAAATAATAATCTGCTATCGAAAAGTAAATCAGAATTAAATTTTTGTATAATTTTTGTTTTCAAGTGCGAAGTCAGTGAAGACTGATCAGTGAACTGATACAACTGTTACAGCTCCTGTCTGTGATTAATATTGTGCAATTAAAGCAGTGAAATAAGTTGTTTTGTTATATTCTTAATTTTGGTCTTTCACTTGGAATTTTTTTATCCGACCAGACTGTTTCCTTGTCAGGTCAGGTCTGGTCTCTGACCTGACAAATGACCTGCTTATTAAAAAAAACTATTTGCAGCCTTGATGCATAAGAGGTCATTCAAGTTCATGTTCACTGAACTGAAATGAACCTGGTAATATGATTGAAATTACAGGACACAGTTTCTTTGACAATGAGAATTTTGGACCTGAGCCTGTGATCAATTAACAACCAATAACTGATCAGCAGATAACTTTAAAAGAGTATCACCTCAATGAGTCTTACACTTGAGCCCACAATACAGTCATGTGACAGAAGATAGCCTTTTTTGACAGCTGTCAATTGACCATAATATGGATGTCCACTATCAAGTTTTGTGTTTAAAAACACAGATTGTATATATGCCTTGGACACCTAACTACATGCAGTAATGCCCAGTCATTACAAGAAAATCTTGGCTTAGCAGCCAATTAAAGCACATATTGTAGCATATTTTATTGTACTGTACATGTAGGTATACTATTGCAGCCATATAAGAAATACATGTAATTTATAAGGGTTCAAGCAGCATCAACCAAGGTCACTTCCCTAGAAAACAAAAGGAAAGTAGAACCCCCCCAAAAAAAAAAAAAAAAACTTTCTAGCTGTTCAATTCCAGCTTTCTAATTGGATATACCTGGAAACTTGAAATCTTAGTGGCGGCCATGCAATTTGATCAGCCATGCTCTAATGTTGACACCTACCATTGAAGCATACTGTTTATGGACGTTTGTGTTTTTTTTAAGGTAGGAAAGAAAATCTATAAATCTTCTTGTACTGAGAATTGTTTCTTTTCTAGCCACATGTACTGGACTGATTGGGGAAAACATCCAAAGATTGAACGAGCAGAACTGGATGGTAGTCATCGTATTACTTTGGTGAACACATCGGTGGCTTGGCCTAATGGCATTACCATTGATTTCCACGAACAAAAACTCTACTGGGTTGATGCCAAGTTGGACAAAATTGAAATCATGAATCTTGATGGAAGTAATCGTAGGGTAATTCTTGATCATAAACTGCCACATGTGTTTGGATTTACTGTGTTAGGAGATCGGTTGTTTTGGACAGATTGGCAAAGACGTGCCATTGAGAGTGTCAACAAAAAGACTGGCGACAATAGAAAGGTGATCATTGACAGTCTACCTGATTTGATGGGATTGAAGGCTGTCAATCTTAGCCTCTCTCATGGTAAGATAATGTTATTTGTTTTGATTAAGTCAAAATTGATAATTTTATGTGTTCAACTCTTGCCAATGACCTGTCTTTGTTGGATGTAGGTTGTAATAGTGTCTGGCAGTGTCCACCTCTAGTGTCCCTCTCTATGCCACTCTTAGCTGAAGCCAAGGACTGTTGTCTTGGCCTTGCCTTGTCAGAGTGTGGTTAAAGTTTTGTGATTAAGGTGTTTAAAGGTGTTTAAAGTGCATTTGTATCTCCATCTGTACAAACAAGAAGGGAATTTGACCAAGAGGAGAGTTTGTTTTGGGTGTACACATTTTTGAACATTTACACATTGAGTATTAGAAGACTTGCGTATGAGCTCCTCTATCAGAAGCTCCTCCGACTTCCTTGTTGCTACAACCTCAGGCAAAACTTGTGGAGGCATGGATGTACCACAGAAATACCAATTTTTTTATCTGGGCAAAAATGGCCATTTTCCCCCTTCCCTTATCCAATTTTGTTTATGGTAACACAAGAAATTACAGTGTATACACATTGGTTTTTAGACCAAAACAACATTGGATAGGGGGTGGGGAGGGTGCCTACTTTTTCCCTGTTTAGAAAAGATGTTTGGATGGTTCAAAAATTACAAAATTGATGCTACTGTGTCAAGAGTTTTGTAGTGGCAAATTCATCTTTTTTCAGTTGAGGTTATGTTGTTAACTTGGTCTTAAATTGATCAATATATCTGTTGGCGTGGTTACATTGTTTGTATCATTATTCCTGAAGAGCTCCTTAGAGGAAGGGGATGTGTTGTGATAACGAAATTGTGCCGTTGTTTCAGGCTCAAATCCCTGCCAGCATAACAATGGAGGTTGTAGTCATCTGTGTCTGTACAGGCCATCAGGAGTAAAGTGTGAATGCCCTGATGGAATGGAGCTGCTTGCTGACAAGAAAAACTGTATATGTAAGTAAATACCTGGGCATCTAGACTGATAGTGCTGTGCTGACCTTTGATAACTTTTATTGTGTCTGCATGCGGAGTGTCCATTTTGTAATAAATCTGGATCTGCTTAAGGCTTGTTTCACTGTAAACATTGTGTAAAAAGATTATCATTATTTAATAAAATTAATGATAAATACTTGCTAGTCACAATGAAGCTATGACCATTTACAGTGCCTATAGGAAGGTAACAGGCTATGGCTCATAGATGTTGCAATATCATTGACACCAACTTCAGAACAATTTTAATCTGGACATTTCCTTTTCGTAAGTGGGACTGCATAACAGAATCCATGAAGACATTAGGCTTTCCCTTCCTTTGAATTTATCTTAAACTTAAGTAAGGGTAACGCTTTAATCATTAAACATCAACAATGCAACTGCTTTTTTTTTTCAGTGCCAGAAGCATTTCTGTTGTTTTCAAACCCTAAGGATATCAGGAGAATCTCTCTTGACACCAATAATGCTGCAGTTATTCCATTGGTTGGTGTCAAAGAGGCAAATGCTCTAGACTTCAATGTACAGGAGATGCAAATCTACTGGACAGATACATCCCTCAAGTCTATAAACAGAGCTTTCCTCAATGGAAGCCAAATTGAGCACTTGATTGTTGTGGATTTGCCTCACCCTGATGGTTTGGCTGTGGACTGGATAGCCAAAAACCTGTACTGGACGGACTCTAAACACCATAGAATAGAGGTGGCAAGACTTAATGGACAGCACAGGAAGATGTTGATTTGGAGGGACTTGTGGGAGCCGCGTGAACTTACTGTCAACCCAGTTTCAGGGTAAGCAGGCAATTGACGTTTGAAATTAGTTTGTTAATCCGTCCATCACAAAGTTACATGTATGTTAATAACTTGTGTGAGATGTATTTACATGTACACATACATATGCCAGGTTCATGGCTTCAACTAGTTTGAAATGAACTGCCTTTTTTACGTGTACTACCGTAAAATTCCGAAAATAAGCCCCGGGGCTTATATTTTTCAAAGGCCCTTTTTGAGGGGCTTATTTTTGGAGGGGCTTATATTTGGAGGGGCTTCTCTACGGAGGGAAATTAGCGTTTCAAAGCCGATTGGGCTAGCTTATAGGTGGAAGTAAATTTACCGTTTTTGCTTTGTTTTACTTTGTATTTAAGGGCAATTTTCCAAGTACAAGCCCCCGGGGGGCTTATATTTGGAGGGGCGATTTAATGGAGGTTTTTTGCGTTATAGCTTTGGGGGGCTTATATTTGGAGGGGCTTATACATGGAGGGGCTTATTTTCGGAATTTTACGGTATTTTACATGCAGGGCTGGGTGTAGTGTTGTGGGTGCTAGAATGTTCAGTTGGTGTTTTCCTTTGACCTAAAAGGCAAATGCTTGCTCATAATGTCAGTTGAGGTGGTTCTGATTTCAGGTGGAATGGCCTTAACTGATTCATAAGGGACAAAACATCACATTGATAATTATTCTTAACTAATCACTTATGTCATCGGTTGATATAGTGTCGTGGTTCATCGGTTTTTTTGTTTGTCAAAATTGTAACAATTTCCTCAGTCTAATTACTGAATGATGCGAGAGCTTACACAGTTACTCTGCACTGAAGAACTACTTTGCTGATGCGCCACGCCACCACTATATGGCATTTTATATTTTTCTTTATGACTGATCACTCTTATTTGTGCAATAGACATATGTACTGGGCAAATGGTGGAAGGGAGCCAACGATAGAAAGAGCAGACTTGGATGGCTCCAACAGACACACCTTGATTGTCAATGTCACACGTCCAACCGGCTTGACAATTGACTATTCATTGGAGCTCATTTTCTGGGTTGATATTGATAACCAGGTTATTGAGTGTGCAAACTTAGATGGAACAAACCGTCGAGTAGTTGTGTCAGGTCTTCCCATGCCTTTTGCTTTAACACAGTACAAGGATTATATTTACTGGACTGACCATGAGCTTAACTCGATCTATCGTGCCAACAAGACAAATGGATTGGATCTGACAAGAATCAAATCCCGCACTGATGACATTATGGATATTCTAGTGTTTCACAGCAGTAGGCAAGAAGGTTTGTGTATAATCATTATTTTGATACTGTTATCCCTACAAGCCCAAATATAATTGTATATTTTCTCCACACTGCTGTCTCTATATATTTCCTGTGGTACTGAATTTGTAGGACAACCGTGACCATTATTTTAACCTGATGTATGTATGTAGATAGGAAAGGTACAAATGAATGTACGGTTGAAGAGAGGTTTGAAGTTTAGTACGTGTACATGTAGGCAACTTAATTCAGCAAGGGTCGTCCTCAACCTACTCTAAAGTAACGGTAATCGCAGATTAATAAAGGGCACATGAGATTCCAGATCGTGCTTGATAATGCGTGGTTTGGCAATTGGAAATGTGTGTGATGGAAATTGCAAGCAGCTCTGCATCGCAATAAATTTACAATCTTAAATATACAGATAGTAAATAGCATGTGTACGTAGATGCATTAAAAAAAAAAGTGATGATACTTCAAAATTAAAAGACTACCGAGTATGCACGAGGAAAAATTGATGTAATTGAATTTCCTCAAGAGCCCCTGTACTAGGACTGGATCTCGCATCAAGTATTGCACTGTTACGTGTAAAAAAATGGAAATTTTATGATGTGTTCACGGAGGAATCACGTTGAAGATAATGCACGTTTAATTTGTTTTTATTCAGGAATTCATGTGTAAACTTTTTGCTATTTTCTTTTGATGATGTTTCCAAAGGACTTAAAAGGCGTTTTATGCCTAAATCGCACCTTAGACAACCTCTCTGTAAGCAAGAGTTAAAACAAAAAAGAAAAAGAAGTTGTTTCCAGGTTATTTTGGGCCTTGTTTGGTGAGTTTTGCCTAACATGTTTGCTTGTTTATTTAGGATGGAATTCCTGTGCCAGGGATAATGGTGGTTGCAGCCACCTTTGCCTGGCTAAACCAGGCCAACGGATGGTGTGTTCCTGCCCAACTCACTACACCCTGTCGTCAACAGACAATAAGACTTGCAATGGTTAGTATTCTCCAACGTGATACAGTTTCTCACTGACAATTACATGTAATGGGAATCCGTATTTCTAAACTCTGAGTTGCCCAAATCTCCAAACCGATACTGTCTTCCTGCCCAACTCAGGACTTAACTGACAGACGACCAATAACATCATTTCATTTAATTTATTTTTTCCATTCCCTTATAAATATTACAAGACAAACGTTATTGCTTGAGTCAGAGAAAGTCTGCAATACGCAATGAAATACAGTCAAGATCATTACAGCATGTACATTTAAATAAGTTTGTCACAAAAAGAAGGAAAAATGAAGAATGGAAAGGAGAGGGGCACGTCTAGGTCAACTAATATTGTGCCCCTGAAATAACGTAATACACCACATAACAGCGCGACCTTATTGACCCCTCAGGTCAATATCCAGAGTTAAATACCATCAACTGACATGATACAACTCACTTTGACTCTGAAGATGCCTACTGTATACATGTAGGTTGTCAAAACGTCTGTCAATGTCAACAACAGTCCTGTGATGGCAGGATCAAACTCTTACAATCCTTGTCGTATTTTTTTACAGCTCCTCGAGTATTCATGCTCTTCAGCACCACAACTGACATTCGGAGAGTCCTATTCAACTCATCAGACAAGCTGGAAGTCGTTTTACCTGTGCGTGGTCTGACGGATGTTCGTGCCATTGATTATGATGTCAATAGTCACCTCATCTACTGGATTGACAGTGCAGCAAAAGAAATAAGACGCTCTTTTCAAAATGGTAGCAATGCTAAGACGATAGTCCTTGGAGAAGATTCCTCGCCTTACGATCTGGCTATTGACTCATACGGACAACAGCTGTATTGGACAGACAATGTGAAAAACAGCATTAACGTTTATAGCTTAAGAAAAGGGGTGTCTATGGGTGTTGTCTTTCATGAGAGAGATGTTCACCCACGATCTATTGTGCTTTATCCAGAGATGGGGTGAGTGCATCTTTTTAATCCTTTTTGATTTATTTTATTTTCATTGGTTAGTAATCCCCTCAGCAGTGGGCTATTGCATTTAATATCCGTACCGCCCCCCCTTCAGTTGAGGACGTACCTTTTCTTCTTGCCCTAAAGATAGACTACGAAAAAACGTTATTCTAATCAGTTTTAACCCTTTTCAGACAAATGTTCTTTACCAATGAAAAACCGGAGAAGAAATCCATCGTGCGTGCAACAATGGCTGGTGCTGACAAGACACTCTTCAGCGCGACATCCCCAGGGGATTTGGCAGTCGACAAGGCGAGAAACAGACTTTACTGGACAGACACTACTCTGAAAAGGATTGAGTATGCCGATCTCACAGGTACGATTTCGCTCCCAAATGCATTATATGATTGCCACTCTTATGTACGTTGCATATTTTGTCAAAACAAACAAGCAAACAAACAAAACAAACACAAATTAGTCAGTTAATAAAGCTTAGATTAGAACCAGTGACAATAAAGTAAGTATCCATTGGTTGGCAAGATTGAAACGTTTTAGTACAGAAACGTGTGAACTTTCTTGGTGTGGTCAAAAGCGAAGCAAGAAGAAAGAAAAATGCACGGTTATTTTAAATATTTCAGAAGTGGTTTTCTTCTTTTTAAAAGGCCAATTTTCTGTTGCTAGTGCTCTTTAAAAGAGGTTCTCTCCTTAGTCTCCTTTAACAACGTAGTCCGCGTTCAACTTAGCCTTCCACGCAGGCGTTTTTAGGGGAGCTCGTGTTTGGGAGGGAAGAAATACGAGCTCCCCTAAAAAGGCCTGCGTGGGAGGCTACGTTCAACTGCGAAAAAAAAATATTAACATCTTGACAAGGTCATTTTTTGGCGACCATTTTCTTAACGTGTTACATGAAAGTAGATCTTGATTAAAATAAGGGCTTAGGGAACTGCACCCTCTTCCTCTTATTTTTAGCCCTCTTCTCTTGATGTCGATGAGAACTTCCCGCGAGTTTAAAGGGAACGCCAACAACAACAATTACAGTTAAAGGACTATACTAGTACTTGAATTGTGTCTTCAGTAATTAACACATGTAGCTCACAGTCGAATAAATATACCTTACAGGAATGAACCGGGCCACACTGATTGAGACAAATGTGTTACAGCCTGTTGGCTTAGCAGTCCATGGAAGTTATGTGTACTGGATAGATCGTGAGTCCCGCAATGTCATGAAAATCAGGAAGGATGACGTTCGTGGCCAAACGGTGCAAGCAGCTATTGATGATTTATCTGACATGATTGTCGTTGATACACTGAAAACATCAGGTGTGAAAGTTCTTTCATTTTACACTTCTTGATGGCGATTTTTTATAATTCAAGTGGTTATAAATAAGGATTGTATCGTAGTATTTGCTGGTCAGTATGTAGGGTGGCTTTGAGGGCTTATACGACGTGCAGGACGACGACATCGACAGCGTAAAGAAAAACTTAGGTTTGATATTGCTCGGATCACTCCGTTTGGTGCATTTTTTACCGCCCTCTGTACAACTGGGCCGTTAGATTACCACATGAAATGCGATGTAGGTATTTTGGGAATTAGTTATACGATGCGAAGTATTCCTTTCCCTTTGCGAACTTTGTTGCGGCACCTAACAAACAAACTATAGGAAAATACGCCAACATTTGGCTTGAGTGCGGTGTAAAGCGTGAACGACCGGAAATTCACGTTATTAGTGAGCTTAAAGGGGCTGTGTCACGGCAGTCCAGTTCATTTTGTTTAATTTTGCCAATTACTCGCCCTCAATCGCTATGGAACTGAAAGTAAGCAAAGAAATTACATGTAAATGACAAAATCAGAGACCCGAGACAAACATATATGTCTCCTGAGCATTATTCTTGAAGTTGCAAGCAGCAGTTTCAGTCTTCAGTTTTGCCCATCCGTGACGTCTGTTGTTTCTGTATGTTATTTAACCTTCCTTTAACGTTTTAAGCGGTTATTTTTATGTTTCTCTTAATTTAACGGGCATTTTGTAATTTCCTAATTTGGCTGAATTTCGTGACACACTTCCTTTAAGCAAAGACGTTTTTGAGCGACGCGCGTCAACCGGAAGCTAGCGGTCTTTTTTCATCTTTGGTCGGTGATCTGCCCAAATTTTTGGACAAATTGTCTCTATAACAGTAAAGACACTTAGAAATAAAAGTTTGGTGGCGTCAAGGTGCTTTAAAATGAAAAAAGACCTCACTTGCGGTAGTCTGCTACACGGCCGTTTTTAGTGTCGTCACGCAACGCTTAGTAGGGAGGAGCGTTGCGTGACGACACTAAAAACGGCTGTGTAGCAGACTACACTTGCGGTTGACTTGCGTCGCTCAAAAACGCCTTTGCTGAAGCTCCCTATCAATGCCGTTTTCACTTCCGTCGCCGTCGTCCTTTTGAAGCTATCACGACAATACATTTGCTTGATTAATTCGCTTACGTTACAAACCGCTTGAGGGAATACTTTAAAACCAGTTTGGTTGCTCTAACTGAGGTCCAAGGGAAAACATTAATAAGTCACGTCATCGATTTTGCAGTACTGCATAATCCAAGAATTCCCCTTGTGGGGTCACGTGGGGGAAGTTTCCTTGTTACAGTCAACGCCCAATAACTCGGAACTTCAAGGGAAATCGAAAGGGGTTCGAGTTAGCGGGAGTTTGAAGCAAATAACCGGAAATAAGAAAATGGGATGGGGAATGAATGCAAGTAACATGCGCACTTCAAAACTTGATTGATACACAATGCTGGACACTGCATTTAAACTGGACTGACTAAATAGTAAAGACAAAGACCATATGGTTGTTAAAACAATTCCAACATTTCGGACTGCAGTACACTGGTGTTTTCGACTTGTCAGGCGTTAAAACATGGTTAAGTTATCGAGGGTAAATATCGAGGGTAAAACGTGGGATTTGACTTGGCATATTTATTACCATTTAGTTTCGTACCACACGGCATGTGCGGGAACCCTCAGATAAAATTGGGAACAAAAAGTTCGTTACAACATACGCATACAATTACAAACGCGCGCGCAGAATTTGAATCAAAAAACTATTGCGTGACAACAGAAGATGTAAAGCTGCTAAGAAGGAATTTGCGCTCGTGCCTGTAGGAAGTTACAACTTTGTTTCGCTTGTTTAAGCTTGCCAGATCGGGTCTGCAAATGATAAAATATTTTTCCCACATGCACAAATTACAGCGATTTGAAGCGGGATTCAAAGATTTGAAGCGAGGGTAAATTTATAGAGAAATTATCTGAAGGGAAACAAAAATTGCCTCGAATTAGCGGGAAATTCGAGTTTCCGAGGGTAAAATTGTAGTAAATGTATGAAGGAAATCCAGGGGAAATCGATTTTGGTTCGAGTTTGCGCAAGGTTCAAATTAGCTAGGGCACGAGTTATCTGGTGAGCCTCGCTACCTTACTGGTACTTACGCGGGTGGACGGTATTTCGCAGGGGTTTATTTTCGCGATTTCAAGAGGCAAATATGATATGATAAAAGGCACTAAATTTCGCGATTTAAGCGTCCTGAACTTGATTTAATTTTTGAAACAGTTTAAACTTTTTAAAATATCCAGCGAAACTGGAACAAGCAAAGTGTAAAATGTTTTCAAATGAACGTTAATTCACTAATTACAACTAAATGGAACTATCTAGTAAAATCAGTTAACAATTTGTATTGTCGATACATATCATTTATTTTTTTGCTATTACAATTTGAAAGGTTTTTTTCTGTGACATTTGAATTTTCTGCTTAAATTTCGCGATTTTTTTTACAATCGCGAAAGACGCGAAATGAAAGACCCAAGGAATTAAGTACCAATATTTCGTATATAAACTGGAACCTAGTTTTGGTGGTCGCGATGGACGGTGTAATGGTTGTTCCGTTTGGTTTTTGTAGTTCACCACCCTTGTTTCATGAAGCCTTGTTCCCATATCTGCTCTGTTGGTGTGCATGGACATGCTCAGTGTTCTTGTCCCATGGATATGATTCTTGCTGAAAACAATTCTACTTGCGGAGGTTAGTTGTCTTATCACTACTATGAGTGACAATTTAAAAAGTGAAATGATTTGCAATAAAGAAAGGAGCACTATTAATTTTACTGTTTGTAACTAACTGAGCAGTGTACATGTATATTGCAATGATTTAGCAACTGCCTTTTAAGACAATGAAAAGTTGCTGCCAAAATGTATGAAATTTATCAAGAACATTCTTCTTTAACAGCTCCGAAGACGTGCAAACCAGATCTATTTACTTGTTCCAACGGACAATGCATCCCTCAAGGCTGGATCTGTGATGACAACGAGGACTGCGTTGATGGTTCTGACGAACAAAACTGCAGTAAGTATCATTCCTATCATTCTCTACATGGAATCATTTATTTGTGGGAGTACCCTTAATCTACTGTATCTTGCGGACTCCTGCGGGATCCCCGCTATTTTCGTAGTAGTGGTGTGCGCTGTATTGCAATTTCGTCGTACTGAATGTATTGGAAGAAATGTGGGAATTTCTGACCCTTGTGTCCGCTTAGTTAATATCGTTTGGTTTAGCTGGTGCGTTATGCTGTAACTCGCCTAAAATGGCTCCGACGAATTATGTTGCGTATGTTATTCATTCAACATTATTATCACGTCGACAGTAACTTTTTGATAGAAGCAAAATATATCAATAAACTAGTAATAACCAGGGCCGAGTTGTTCAAAGCTGGGTTAAGATAACCCAGGGTTAGTGCGAGATTTGAATTCAGATATGAAAGCTTAGAAAGCATTTCAGTTTTAATTCTTTTTGTCTGCAAGTTGATGATTGGAAGCTCTAAAAATAGTACAGAAAATTACCCGAGAAAATGCTTTTGAACACAAGAAAAAGAAACCCGGGTTAAGCGCTAATCGGCCTTCGAACAACAGAAGGTAGGGAGTACAGGCGAGGTCCATCGCTCTTTCTTCTACTCTGCGTTTCGTCGATTTCACGCGATAGGAAGTCAAAACGCGCGTGTTTGAATTATGAGTGACAGACAGTCCAAACTCGCTTGATTGTATTGCGTTCGATGCTTTCCATTCGTTCTTAGTGAAAGTCCAAAAGAACGCAGGCTGCGTATTTGCCACGCATGCGTAATGGCAACTTGGAGATAAGGATTGCGGTCTCCTCTGGTCACCCGCAGTAAAATTTTATTTTTGGTAAGATTCTCAGACCGGAATGTTGACTATGACTTCGCAATTTGACTCCTAAACAGCAAAATGCCCTAAAGGCGAAGTGAGATGTGATGGAGGAAAATGCATCAGTGTGACGAAACTTTGTGATGGTAACACCGACTGCGAGGACGGCTCGGATGAGAAGCCGAACAATTGTCGTGAGTCTAACGCTTCATAGTTCTTGTTCCTATAACCTTTAGCATCAGCGTGCATATTCTCTCACTGTTCTCAATTCACTTCCCAAAATTCTGAGTAAGGAGAATTTGTTTAACAATCAAAGCCTTTTTGGTGACGTTTCCTGAAATCCCAGAAGCGCGTGATGTTTGATAAGCAATTATCTTTCTTCAAAATAACAACCGGAAGTATATATCTCGCTCTTGCGGGCACGGTTGCGATGGAGATTTCCTACTTAGATTTTTGTTCGGCGATTTGCTGCTGGGTGTCTAAACGCTTTGCCCAAAACAAAATCGCCGTCCGGTTAGCACCGTAATAAACCAATTCCCCACGTACTCATTGTTTTTTTTTTTCATTCTTTGTAGCACTTAAATGTGCTGATGATGAATTCCCGTGCGTCACGGTTTGCATTGCAAAGGATTGGGTCTGCGATAACCAAGATGATTGTGGTGACAATGCTGATGAGATAGATTGTGACGTCATTACAAGTATGTATGTTCTCTGCTATGTGCACACCTAAGCGTTTACGTCTTCTTCTTTCTGCCGTCATGTTGCGCAAGCTCACTATTTGATGACTAAATTCCCATGTTTCACTTCCCAACCGATGTAGAACCAACTTTCTTTGAAAGGTAAACCGAATAACTTAAATTGCTTTTTTGAATTTACAGAGAACGATACTGTCCGAAGAGGGACTCCATTCAAGCATTCAAACCTCAGCGGAAAAATGGTGGGTGTCATTGTGGCGTCAATCATCGTGTGTGGCATTTTCCTGACTGTCGCGGTCCTTATGTGTCGTAGACTGAAACACGGTCCTGACTGTAACGTAGCGCACGAGATTGGATTGGTTGTCACTCCAGTGCTTCACCCTAGACCTCGCTCATCAGCTTCATCTTCGTCTGCATCATCCCATCGCAATGTATTTCAACTGCACCGCAAAGGCCCGGGGTCGGTGGGCTCATCTCACAAGCACTCGAAATCAAACGGAACCGCGCCTAGTCTGAGTAATAGGTCCAGTACAACGCAAACGGCGTACGATCGCAACCATTTAACGGGGGCGTCGTGTTCTTCCACTGCGTCCACCGTCGTCACCGCTTACTTTCACGAGCCGCTCAACCCTCCGCCGTCGCCTGTAACAGAACGATCCCATTTTACATCACGATCACGCCCTTATTGTGAGTCTCTAATTGCACCGTCGTCCTCTGCGTCACATAGACATTACCGTCCCAGAATGCCGCCACCGCCAACACCCGCATCAACAGACGTGGAGTCTGTAATTAGTAGGCATCGCGGGCGAAGAGCTCATCGTTGCCGGTATCAGCGGTATACGCAATCTTCGTGCACAGAGTTGGCGTACGATTCGGACCCGTTCGCGCCACCTCCGACGCCAAATACGAACTATATGTCGGAAGCGACGCATTTCTCGGATCAGGAGGGTCCTCCTCCTTCTCCTGCCATGACTGAGAGGAGCTATCACCCGCATCCTTACCCTCCACCACCTTCCCCTGTGACCGACGCCCCGTCAGTGGTTTTGTAACGCCTTGCAGAAGTGGAAGGATCGATTCTCGTAACTGTGTCACATTTAGCGTCATACAGTGCGAGGTCACGAACAGCTCCAGGGGCTTTGACCAACGATATCTCGCTTAATGCTTGAGGGGATAAAGAACGTGACCATGTAATTGTCACTTGTAAAATAAGAGCACAGTGGCAGAAAAGACGTGCGAAGGTGAAGACGAGTTCGCTAGTCTTGACACGTCCGTGCCGCGAACAGGGCTGATAGAAGAACGTGACAGTTAAATATAGGCGCGTTTTATGGCAACCATACTGTAGTTAAATTCAAATTACACGCTCCTTGGATATCGGGAAGATTATTCTGAGTCAAGGCAGATATGAGCCTTGCTGTATGGAGCACTTGTAGCTCTTATCCTGCATCTCTGCAGATAATCTGAGAGATGCTTTTGACATCGGACAGCTTAGGTTTGATTATATCAGTTTAAAGCCAGCGAGTGTTGTCTACATTTAGCCTCCCACGCAGACTTCATTTTGGCTTTTCACGCAATCCTCCCCCATGTGGGGCAAGAACGCGTGACGAACGCCTAAGAACGTCTGCTTAGGAGGCTGGTCTACACTAGGTTATTTCCTTCCTTATCAAATGATTTTGTAACTACGAGGCTACACCCCCACAATGAGGAGATACGTGAATATTAGGGAAACACGGATTCTCGATCACTGTGCATCCCCACCTCCGTAGACAATGTCTGTATGCACTCTAAAGTGGAGTCACTGTTTTTCCGTGAGCCTTTACTTTTCACTTCGGTATTCGTCAGTGGAGAAGTTTAATGTTTCGTACTTCCCATTCATTACACCTCATCTAAGGAAAGGGTTCGTACAGAGTCTTGGAAAAGAAGTTTTTGTTTTAAAAAGAAGTCTGGAAAAAGAATAGGAATTGTGGATCCAAATGTCTGTACGAACCCTGTATGAATGATGTATTGGCTCTGTATCTCGTTCTTAGACATGAAGAATAAAGGAAAGTTAGATATGGTGGCCTCTTAGTTGCAAGGTATAATGCTGTTGTCCTCTTCTTGTGATGTTTGGTGGTCTCGCTTTCTTGATTGGTAATTCACGGACGAATCTTCGACACTCATTCTCTTGCTACTATTCGTCACTAATAGATCGGTGATCGGTTAGCGAAGCGTTGGCGACTATTAATGATTTAGTCATTGTAGTTGAATTTCTGCCCATCTCGGAATCATTTGCAATGGTTAATGAATAACAGTGATCGTTAATGGCTTATTAGTGATAACCGGTTCCTCATAACAGACTTAAGTTGCATCATTTTTGCTCAAGTCAAGTAGCAACATTTACATGGCTTTAAACTCTTTCAAAGTTATTTATTGTAAATATTGTACATAATTTGTAAATGTGCTTTACATTTAACCCAAGAGTATCTATTGTCAAGCAGTTTTGCTGATGACTTTTAAATTTTCTTAGATTAATATATTTTTAAATAAAGACGTTTGTATAAACAACTGTTTTCTTCTGTCTCATCGCCTTATTTGGGTCTGGTTGGTCGGAGAAGAATGCCAAGGATACCCTGGAGGGGCACTATTTTTCTTAACACAAATAAAAAGATGCCAGTGTCTTTATTTACTGTCAGTACAGTAAAAACACGCAACTAAAAATCTACATTTTCCCAAGTTAGCCTAAACAGGTTCTTACGAAAATGGTAATTAGCAAAACTTTAAGCTATTTAGGTTTTTAAAAAGGTTCTTATTTTCTGTAATGTACCTAAGAGTACTTAGTGGTATTCAGCTTAATCCTTTATAAATTTGCATGCTAAGGTAGTATTGCAGATGGAGTGATAAGGCACCCATGTCTCCAAAAACGATCCTGAAGGTCGACTCATCCTATTTGCCCAAGTCTCTGTGTAGAGACTTTTACTGGGCTGCACGGCAAGCCCAGTCATAAAATGGGTTTTCGGTCGTCGGTGTCACAAAGTGGACATCCGGGGGAGGGAAAACAGGAGGGTCTGGTACGTAGAAACGATGTTCTCACAAATGGTTTCATAGGGTTTTCTCTTGCATGAACCCTTGCACGGATACTTTTTGTACCTTGTCTGCGCTCCCCCTGAAAAACCCACAAGGCGTTGCGAACCTGAAGAAGGCTATTTGCGTTGTTCGAAGCTATTCGACCATGGGAGTAACTCTATAATTTTTTTATTGTTCGAGTTTAAGTCAGTTAGATGATGTTGGCGCTGGGAAACTCAGAGAAATGCTCGCGTTGCATTCAAACCGACACGCCGTTCACGGTAGGTTCACACTAAAAGACTGAAAAGATGACTGTGAGCGTCAGGTTTGGAACGCCGTGGCTGCTTCGTGAACTATCGATCGATGTAGTACATGAGCAATTAAGAAGCACAATTTATGGGCAAAGTATTTCACCAGTTGACGACACTCGTTGAGGTCACACTAGAGAAAGTTTACTATGGTAAACTCAAGTTTACCATAGTAAACGGCGCCGTAAGTGTGACCGGTATTTTTCAGTTTACTATGGTAAACTCTACCATTAATTTCCATGACTACCGCGGAAAGAACAAAGATGACCCATCACCGATAACCATCTGGTTACCAAAAAAAATAGGTGGGTATATCTCTAGTCTATCTAAACTTTGTTTGTTTTGTTGACAGTTTGTCATGATTTTTGAGGAAAGTAGTTTCAAAAAGGGTCACATAACAGGATAGCTTTAGAACATCGGTGATTGCTTTTTCCACAGTGCTTCAAGGTTTCTGTTTCTGTACATTTCTTGAAACCATTCTTGGGGTCAAGGGTAAACCCACGCTTGCCTTCGCAATGCCGCTCTTTCTCTAAGAGTACGTCTTCGATGGGTAATCAATGAACCTGTCACTAAAACATCTTCCCTAACTTCGTATTCGAAACCAAGGTAGGTAATAAGGGAGCGCATTCTTCTTGCTCGTCTTGGCAGCAGAATTAAAAGCAAAATGCTCACAACAGAAAACAATACTCTCTCACATTGAACCATCTTTGTACACTTGTGAGGGTCACGCTCAGGAAGTTGCAGTTCAGTAATTTCAATTTAGTCAGCTCTCATAGCATGTCATCATTTGTTTTACTTTTCACTCTCACGTTACCGATCACGCGAGAAAAAACGCCTGGGAAGTTTCAAATGCCTTTTTAAGTGGACCTGTCAGGTTTACTACGGCAAAGAAGACGTTACGAGACTTACCATAGTAAAGCCCGGGGGGTACTGCCATATATGGGCTATATAGGTATGTGCCGCTGTGAAGGGTATGGTTTTCAGGCAGTTTACTCTAGGATAGGGTATATAAATCAGAGCGTTTGGGTCTAGAATAGGGTATCATTTTTCAGGAAACTGATCAGTTCGTTGAAGATTTTATCTGGACAAGGGAAACAGCTACTCTAGGATAGGGGGATTTGGGGAGTTTACTCTGGTATAGGGTAGCAAAATTCAGCTGAACTAGGTCTGGTATAGGTTAAGGGTTCCAGGGTCCCAGCGGCACATCCCCACCCAGAAATGCCTAAAGTACCCCCCGGGCGTAAAGCTCCTTTTACCATAGTAAAGTCTCTAGTGTGACCTCAACCACTATGGCTGAAGACTTGATTGTAAGCCGTCATAGTCAGTGAAGCGAACAACTCAGTTGCCGATGAATGGCAGATGAATCCTGATGTGAGGCACGTCCATAAGCGAGGGACGTGACAACTTTGCCATGTTAGAAGACTGGCTTTTCCTTTAAATATTTCCTTCTATTTAATGCAACACACGCCACTTTGGAGATCTAAATTTCGGATACTGAGGCGTAAAGAAGACACGAACAAAAATAGGAACTCTGAGAATTTCGCACACAAGTTTAAAGCTTCTCCGGGACATCCCATCCGGGAGCTTCACAGAGAGCGACTTGAGGAAAATAGGAGCTATTACTGACAAGGTTTGGTGACTGAGTAGAGCATACAAGTGTTTTCGCCCATTCAGCAAGCACGCTATATATTGATGTCAGCATTAGCGAGTTTCAGTTTCTTGATATTTCTTTTACCATATTATGGAGATGTAAACTGAAGTCACCGCAAAATGGAAACTTAAAAAAGGGTATAATCCATTTATCTCGAAACATAACACACATGACTTATACGACCTTTATTTTCGTAAAGGTGTTTTGAATACGAACGAACACAGTCAATGTGAGGGGCAAAAACAGCATTAATATAAATGAACCATAGGATTTTAACTAATATAAGGGTCAATTATTGTGCATTGAGATGTATCGCTTGAAAAGAGAGACTTCGCTTGAAGATGTGATCAGAAGTAAACAAAGGCATAATAGTGCGTCACGTTCAGTTTTTTTAATACCCAAGGAGTCACTGTGAATAGTGTTTCCATATTGTTTAGCTGGCACAAAAATCTCGGACGAGTTATAAAGCGGCATAGTTTCCATGAAGAAAAGTTAGTCTTGGGTGAGACAAAGAGGGGCTGGAGCGAATTTTTAACTCACATCGATATCAGGTAAAAAATATGTTATCGATCGTTTCATCTATTTACATTGTTTGAAGTGCGTGCTGGTGAACGCAACATGCGAGCGAGAAATCTTTAAACTTTTTTAGGTCTCAAAATGCAAAGGATTTTATTCCTTTAAGTTAGAGAAAAATACCGTGAGGAAAATCTTAAAACTGAATACTTTTCATCTTGTGGAAAAAATAGTGCGTTTTCATGTAGACTGTGGACCGCAAATTAGGATCGCACTTTTCACAAACATGCGAATTCTCAGGGTCGTAACATGGTATATGGGCTCAGGGCTCAAAGCCCAAAATATGACTGGGATCAGGGCTCACAAGAATGGGATCAGGGATCACAAGGCTTTTGAGCCCGAATCAGGGATCATATTTATTACACGGTTTAAGAATCTCTTATCACATAGAATTTCCTGGCCGAGGTGCATTACCTATTCTTACTTCCGGCTGGCGGCAGTTCCTGTCATACGAAGTCCTGGTTGTTTGACGAAAACA